AGTGTCTCCTAAGAGTTTGGGAAAACTTGAGAAATGCTTGCTACATTTTTAAGAGACAGAAAGACAAAGGCAGAAGTGGGTTTCCTGTCCGGAAGACCCACCTGGCATCTTAAAGTTAATAGCTAAAGAGGGGAGGTTTAATATGCCTGTCTGTACTGAACATGTCTTTGCCTTCTCCCTTTGTTAATTGTACTGGCTTAAAATAAAATGTAACAAAAGTGTAGCAAAATAAAGCAAATGATAAATCAGCAATTTTACTGCTGCTTTGTAAGGGGTAAGACACTTTTGAAAAGGGAAAACAAAAATAAGCCTTGCTAAGAACTGTGCAAAAAATATTTGTATAGCAAAAGCATGACATCTCAAATATCTTTATACATTGCAATGTTTTTCACTTGTGGCCTGAAGATGATCGTGTTCTAGAAGACAGAGAAAGCATGTGTCATTTTCCCGAACTAACCAGGGGTGAAAGCTGTGATAGGTGAGGGTCTGCTAAGAATTAGCAGGTTTTTTTTATTATTATTATTATTATTAAATGCGCTGTGTTAGTAGTGAGTAGGAAAACGCAAGTATTTTTCAAATGAGTGTGGTGAAGCTAACAGCCTTGTGGTTTTCTCTGATGGGCTAAGGCCTTTCCCTCTTGGAGCCACAAACATGGCTCTCACTCAGGATGGAGTTAGGAACCCTAAGTTCTGGGGTGACTATAAATCAACCATAAATTTATTTTTTATCCTTCTCAGTGCAGGTGACTGGTTTCCAGGGCAGTGAGGCACTGTCTCCTCCTTCCAGTAGTTATCTTCATCCCATTGTCACCAGCTGGTCTGCCAAACAGGAAAAAGGCCTTCTTACAGGAGGGAGACCCAACACCCAGATGATATACGTGGTCAGCTGGTTAGCATTTGCTCCCCTTGGTGTATAAGTGTATACAACCTCTATGTATATAAAATGCCTGCCTAAGCCCTGTCTCGTTTGTTGCAAATATTGGTTGTTGAACAGGCAAAAATACAAATTACTTTGACACAAATGAGAATGTTTAGAGTGCTTGTTTTTATTTTTAATCCTCTCCAAAGAATGAATGAATGAATGAGAATAAAAACTTGCATTGCTAATAAATTTCTCAAAGTTTTCTCATTGTTATCTTGAAGAGTGTGCCTCCCTTGACTCTGGTTACCTGTCCATAAAATTTTAAGCAATATTAACTAGTGGCTTAATAACTTTTTAGCGTGGTGGCCAGTTCAGAATGTAAGTTAAAGAGAAACATGGTTAAATAATATAATCTTGGCTTTGCATGATGGCAGGGGTAAAGCAGCAATGTGATAAATTATAAACTGCAGTTTATACATACCGTGCACTTCACACATGGACACCATCATGTATGCAGTGTCAAGGGCAGGTCATAATGTATTTCCTCTCACTCTCGTTAGAATGCATCAGAGCTCAGCTCTTGTACTCTTGTGAGTCCGTACACTGTGCCCCTCCAAAGAGTCCTGTCCTTGCTCTGTTCAGTATTTCCTGACGATCTGTTCAGTTAGAGTCTTGTGTTGCTTAAAATCATTGCAAGTGTATACTAGCAATTTCAGTTTCATAGAGGAAACATGAGTCTTTTATCCGTATTTATGCCTGCCTTAATAAGTTTCTGCTTTTCTCCAACTTTTATAAAGGGGGGGGTCTAGTTACATTTGAATTTGGAAAACACAACTAATGCTTGAGCACGTGAGAATTAACACTGAAGAAGACAATTTTACTGGCATTTTAAACAGACCCCAGAAGAAATGTTAACTGGGAATTCTAATGTATTTGCCCCAAATAAGAAATGCAAATTGTTTTTGAAGAATCCCCCCATACACACTAACCGTAGTTTTTAAGATCACTCTCTTGCCAAAAGTGAAATTCATGATGAAGCTTGGCTCATATAAGCAAACTGTTGCCAGGCTTAGTTTCCTTGGGCTCATAAACATAAAAAGCCATCAACCGGTCCAAAGGGTCAGAATGCCTTTTCCTTACAATTTCCTCCTTCGAGTTGGAAGGAATATAGGTGGAGGATCATTTTACTTTGAACAAAATATCTTACATTGAGATAGTTGTCACTTAAGATTGCATTAAGCAAAATGACATTTGTCAGATCTCTGCCTTCTTTGGACAGCTAAGAAACACTTCCCATTTAGCAGCTCTTGCTGTGGAGAAAGTTTAAAAAAAAGAAGAAAAAGAAGAAATTACCTCAGCTTCAGTGCATTTGGAAGTGAACCCTAAAAACACTTAACACATTAAAAAAAAAAAAAAAAAAGCTAATGGGAATGAAAATGCAAATCTTTAAGGTAAGTGGAGATTTGTTTGGGTTGAGACCCTTTGAAAAGCACAGGCCCCCTGTGTCACACTACACTTTGTTATAAGGGAAATCTGGGAAAGTTCATTTGGGAAGATATAACTTACAGTTATTTAAATTAATTCCGGCCACACTGAATACACTTTAAATGGTCTCAGAGTTAAGCATTTTCTGAATGAATTGTCTCTAGAGCATACCAGATATAAAGAAAAAGTGTTCTTTTAATAAGATACTGTCTTATAAGATTTAACGTGTATATACAGTCACTTTTTGTGACCTATAAATTTTTGTCTTCTTAAAGGAGGTGCATATGGACAGCATTTCAGGGCATTCACAATTTTTAATATGCTAGTGTTTACTTTTTTTTAGGAAGTACAAAAATTATACTTTTTAATGTCATAGCTTTTACACTGGGAAAGCAACTTTTTAAAGTCAGCCTCCTGCTTAGCTATTTCTGTGCATCTATTTCTCTGCTTAGTGTAAATAAGCTTTTAAATGTCAGCATATACACACACACACACACTGGTGTGCATGTGTACATGATGTGCATATGTTTTCGAAGGACATTATACACTTAAAGAGAAATCATAATTTTTTGGCATTTTGTTAAAACTTCTAAAATTATTACTGGAATTTTGAAGAGCCCTTAGGTTTTTGTTTTGTTTTGTTTATTCATTGATTTAAAAAAAAAATCTAGCCTCCCCAACCCTGTTCCATAACCTTAACCAGGTTTTGCAATTAGCTTTGCATACATTGAGCAAGGTTGAGCATGGAGGGCTTGTTTTGTTAATGTGCCTATCTGCTGTATAAATCGGCTGTGTCTTTGCTCCCAGCTACCCTCAACCTCATTACAGATGCCTCTATTGCGTTCCTTCCCCCATGCAGTAATGAGACGGCTTGGTGCAGCCTGATCTTCGCACTGAGTTTACTTTAAAAGTCTATGGGGTTTATGGGCTGCAGCTCTAACTTCTTTCCCCTTCAAATGGCTTAGCCAGTTAAGAAAATGCTAATTGAATGCTGCTAATAATTTTTAAAGGCATGTATAAATTACCTGGAGATAATGGCCTCATGGAAACCAACAGACCAGCCACACAATATTTTTATTTCATTTTCCAGGAGAGGAGCAGTGAGATTTACTGGATGGAATTAAAAAATAAAAATAAAAACAATAAACCCCCAGATTCCTCTGCTCAATGGGTTGCTGAATCAAACGCCACCCCTCCCCCCCCAAAAAAAGAAACCTCAAAAGAAAAATGTTAGCAAGTTCATGTGCTTGTGCCAGAACTCCAATGCCTTTTCGGAAGGGACTGGAAGATGTTTTGTTCTCCACCTCAACTTTGCACATTTAACAAAGAGCTGACTTGCCTGTGACATTTGCTCTGTTCAACGGATCAGTTGCTGTCACTCCATCTGCAAGCTGGGAAAAAAAAATCCTCCAGTCGGTGGCACCCAACCCAAACTGGTACACGAAACCTGGCAGCAGCAGGCACCTCTATCACCACGGTGACCCAAAAAGCCAGAGCCAGAAGTGTCACTGGGTGTCGATTTCAGTTTCCCATACAGCTATTTATTTGATCAGGTGTGAATTAGAGTTGTTCATTAAACAGGGTTGTTATTCGGTACAAGAGGGTTAGGGAGACAGAGGAAGTAGCTGCCTACAACAGTAATTAAACATGTGTAACCAATTAGAGGCTTTTCCACGATGGCGCAAGCATATAATTTGCTAAGTCTTTCTATGAGAATAGATGAAAATAGGTACAGAAAGTGTGTCTGACTACAACATTCTCATGTTAAACATGTCAACATAAATGAACTTTAAATATATAATTCCTGGTTTGTTAACAAACCACTGAACTCCATTGGCTAATCACAATAACATGTAATTTCAAGTTCATTTCGCCAAAGAATATTGCATCTGACAGAGCCGATTAATTGTACTAAACGTGATTCATGTTAGACCTAGTGTGTGTTGATAGTCACCTGGCAAATCCTAAAATGCAGAGGCCTCCCGAAAGAGGAGAGGTAGGGGGCAAGCAAGGACGCCACCATTAGGATCCAAAGTGCTTGTAGTTTCTTTGTTAACGTTCACAAATCATAGTATTTAGTCTAAATTTCCTACGCGAAATAAATGCCTATCGATTCAAAAGGTTCTGTAGGATGGTGTTAGATTGGCACCGCCTCCGCTGGGCTTAGGGATGATGAATCCAGGAGGCCAGAGCACACCACACTGGCTTCCTGTCAGGTGCTGGTGTGTGGGAAAGGTTACGGATTAGCTCGGAGATGTTAAGTGAACTGGCAGAGGCGTCTCTAATTTTGTTGGAAATGAGGAAGCCCGATGGTAAAGGAGAATCCTAATGAGCCCGTCGAAGGCTGGCTTTGTACCCAACAGACAGGGTGGCTGCGGATTGTATGAAGATATTGGAAATCGATGGCTTGTATGGAATTCATTAAGAAGCAGTATCCACAATTGATAGAGCCTCATAATTTGATGGATTGTGCTAAGAAAATGATTAGCTAGCTAGAAAGAGTCATAGAACACACACGCTGGGACGTCAGAAATGTTGAAGTGGGGTAATTTGTACAAAATAAAAAATATTGATTTTACTGATGTGCAAAATTTTGAAATGGAGGGCGGCTGTCTGCGGAGCCTAGCTGATGTAATCTCTCGGTGGTTTCCTAGGCGTCCCCGGGGACGGTGCTGAGGACGCAGAGAGCAGCAGTGAGAGCCGAAGCGGCAGCGAGGAAACCAGCGTGTGCGAGAAATGTTGTGCTGAGTTCTTCAAGTGGGCAGACTTCCTGCAGCACAAAAAGACCTGCACCAAGAACCCACTGGTGCTGATCGTGCATGACGATGAGCCAGCGCCGCCCTCCGAGGACTTTCCAGAACCTTCTCCCGCCAGCTCGCCCAGCGACCGCACCGAGAGTGAGGTGGCTGAGGAGGTGGCACCCACGGAGGGCAGCGAGGTGAAGGCTGCTGCCAAGGAGGCAGAGCCCATGGATGTGGAGGCATCTGCAGACAAGGGCCCTCCGGGCCCAGGTGTGGCCCCACCGCCTGCACTGCCACCGCAACCGGAGCCTGCGGCCTTCAGCATGCCTAGTACTAACGTGACGCTGGAGACGCTGCTCAGCACCAAGGTGGCTGTGGCACAGTTCTCCCAGGGTGCGCGTGCAGGCGGCACGGCAGGGGCTGGTGGCACCGTGGGCGCTGTGGCCATCCCCATGATCCTGGAGCAGCTGGTGGCACTCCAGCAGCAGCAGATCCACCAGCTCCAGCTCATCGAGCAGATCCGCAGCCAGGTGGCCCTGATGAGCCGCCAGCCCGGGCCTCCACTGAAGCCCTCTGCCGGTGCCCCCGGAACAGCCTCGGTGCAGCTTCAGGGCCTGGCTCCGCATACGGCCCTCCAGCTTTCCACTGGACCTGCCTCTGCCTCTGCCGGCTCGGGCTCCACCCTGCCAGCGGCCTTCGATGGCCCCCAGCACCTGTCCCAGCCTGCATCTGGCACAAGCACCCCTTGTAGCTCCAGTGCTGGCCCCACCGAATCTGGGGCACACCCAGCCTGTAGCACTGGCCCGGCTCCAGGAGCCGTGGCTGCAGCCTCCACTGCGGTGGGCAACACGGTGCAGCCCCAGAATGCATCTACACCCCCTGCCCTGGGCCCTGGGCCCCTCCTCAGTTCAGCCTCCAGTCTGCCAAACCCTCTGCTACCTCAGACTTCATCCAGCAGCGTCATCTTCCCCAACCCGCTGGTTAGCATTGCTGCCACAGCCAATGCGCTGGACCCCCTGTCAGCTCTTATGAAGCACCGCAAGGGCAAGCCCCCTAATGTGTCAGTGTTCGAGCCCAAGGCCAGCGCCGAGGACCCTTTCTTTAAGCACAAGTGCAGGTTCTGTGCCAAGGTCTTCGGCAGCGACAGTGCCCTGCAGATCCACTTGCGCTCACACACAGGGGAGCGGCCCTTCAAATGCAACATCTGTGGGAACCGCTTCTCCACCAAGGGCAACCTGAAGGTCCACTTCCAGAGACACAAGGAGAAGTACCCCCACATCCAGATGAACCCCTACCCTGTCCCGGAATACCTCGACAACGTGCCCACCTGCTCCGGCATCCCCTACGGCATGTCCCTGCCCCCAGAGAAGCCAGTGACCACCTGGCTGGACAGCAAGCCGGTGCTGCCCACTGTGCCCACATCAGTAGGGCTGCAGCTACCCCCCACTGTCCCTGGCACCCACAACTACACGGACTCCCCTAGCATCACCCCCTTCAGCCGTTCCCCACAGAGGCCCTCTCCAGCATCCAGCGAATGTACCTCTCTGTCTCCGGGCCTCAACAATACAGAGCCTGGAATCCCAGTGAGGCCCGAGTCGCCCCAGCCGCACCTTGGTGGGCCTTCCCTTCCTAAAACCGAGCCGGTCAGCCTGCCTTGCACCAGTACAAGGACGGGGGATGCTCCAGTGGTGGGTGGGCAGGTCAGCGGGTTGCCCACTCCAGCTGCCACCACTGTGACAGACAGCGCCTGCGCAAGTCTGGGTAGCCCTGGTCTTCCGGCTGTTTCTGACCAGTTCAAGGCCCAGTTTCCTTTCGGCGGGCTGCTTGACTCTATGCAAACGTCAGAGACCTCCAAACTGCAGCAGCTGGTGGAGAACATCGACAAGAAGATAACGGACCCGAACCAGTGCGTCATCTGCCACCGCGTGCTGAGCTGCCAGAGTGCCCTGAAGATGCACTATCGGACGCACACAGGGGAAAGGCCCTTCAAGTGCAAGATCTGTGGCCGCGCCTTCACCACCAAAGGCAACCTGAAGACGCACTTTGGGGTGCACCGTGCGAAGCCCCCCCTCCGGGTCCAGCATTCCTGCCCCATCTGCCAGAAGAAGTTCACCAACGCGGTGGTGCTCCAGCAGCACATCCGCATGCACATGGGGGGGCAGATCCCAAACACACCCCTGCCCGAGGGCCTCCAGGAGGCCATGGACGCGGAGCTGCCCTCGGATGAGAAGAACGCGGAGACCCTCAGCAGCTTCGACGACGACATTGACGACAACTCCATGGAGGAGGACTCGGAGCTGAAGGACACGGCCAGTGACTCCTCTAAGCCACTCCTCTCCTATTCGGGGTCCTGCCCACCCTCGCCCCCATCAGTCATCTCCAGCATTGCTGCCCTCGAGAATCAGATGAAGATGATCGACTCCGTCATGAACTGCCAGCAACTGACCAGCTTGAAATCGGTGGAAAACGGGTCTGGGGAAAGTGACCGCTTGAGCAATGATTCCTCATCAGCGGTGGGTGACCTAGAGAGCCGTAGTGCGGGCAGCCCTGCTCTGTCTGAGTCTTCGTCCTCCCAGGCTCTGTCACCCGCTCACAGCAATGGTGAGAGCTTCCGTTCCAAGTCACCAGGTCTTGGCCACCAGGAGGATGCACAGGAGATCCCTCTGAAGACTGAAAGGCTGGACAGCCCACCCCCCGGCCCAGGAAATGGAGGTGCCCTGGACCTGACAGCGGGCCACCCTGGGCGGCCACTCATCAAGGAGGAGGCCCCTTTCAGCCTGCTGTTCCTGAGCAGAGAGCGGGGTAAGTGTGCGAGCACTGTGTGTGGTGTCTGTGGCAAGCCCTTTGCTTGCAAAAGCGCGTTGGAAATCCACCACCGCAGCCATACCAAGGAGCGGCCATTTGTCTGCACGGTCTGCAGGCGAGGCTGCTCCACTATGGGTAACTTAAAGCAGCACTTACTGACACACAGATTGAAAGAGCTGCCTTCTCAGGTGTTTGACTCCGACTTTACTCTAGGTCCCAGCCACAGCACGCCTAGCCTGGCCTCCAGCCCTGCGCCCACCATGATCAAAATGGAAGTCAACGGTCACAGCAAGGCCATCGCATTGGGTGAGGGCCCAGCCCTGCCAGCTGGAGTCCAGGTCCCTACTGGGCCCCAGACAGTGATGAGCCCTGGCCTGGCACCCATGCTGGCACCCCCACCACGCCGGACACCCAAGCAGCACAACTGTCAATCATGTGGGAAGACCTTCTCCTCGGCCAGTGCCCTGCAGATCCACGAGCGCACCCACACTGGCGAGAAGCCCTTCGGCTGCACCATCTGTGGCAGGGCCTTCACCACCAAGGGAAATCTCAAGGTAAGAGGGCCTGGGGCAGTGGCCAAGCGCAGGGCCCCACATTCCCCGTGTAGGCAGAGATTCTGCCTTCACGCTTTGTGTGTGTATGTAGTGTGTGTGTGTATACACACACGTGCGGAGTGGGTTGTTTGTACATGTACAGTTTGCGTGTACACCGTGTGCGCGCGTGGGTATACACACGTTTATATGAGCAGTGTATATACACATGCATGCACACATCCTCAAAGGACGTGCGTGTCCTTTGAGTAAGTGAAGTTCGTGAGTAAGTGAAGCAGGAAGCCGTGTTCCACCCAGAGACCTCACGTCTGAAATTCCTCTGATGGATGGTATCAGCCTGCTCCAGGGCCTCGGGCCATGACAGATACTTGATGAGCAGGCCCAGGACACAAACCTCTTGAATCTTGGTCCTTAAACATTAGCATATATCAAAGATGAGGCTTGCTCTGTGAGTTCTAGGGTGTTCTCTTGTCTGTGTAGCTGCAGACAGGGACACCAGGTGGGGAGTTTCCCAGCATGTGAAGCCTGTGTCCCTCCTGAAGACCAAATGAGGCTGAGTGTTATCAACCACTGCTGGCAGATGCCACAGACTGCTCCAGGTCTCTGGCTATGCTGCTGGCCTCAGCCAAACACACACCACCTCACAAATGAGACTAAAATGTTCACTGTCCAAAGTAGAGGGCTCAGAAGCCTCTCTAGAGATAGTCCAGTGGCCAATGCTGACAGATCAGGACCTCCTGAGGACTCTGCAGTTCTGGGTGACCCAGGAGCCCTTAGCACTCACCTTTCCTGTTACAGAGAAAACAAGAGAAGGGACCCTCAAAGAGTTCAAGACCTTTAACAATCTTGAAAGTGGGCGGGGATGGTGGTGGTTCAGTCTAGTCTACTTGGCGAGTTCCAGGTCAGTAGCAGACCCTACCTATCTCAAAAAAAAAAAATGGACAATGTTTGAAGAATAACACCAGAGGTGTACTACACACACACACACACACACACACACACACACACACACACACACACAAAGGTGGGGACAGGAGCAAGCCCTGGAAAACATCCTTTATCCTTAAAGCTCTGGAATATTCTCTAGCATTCGTGTGCGTGTGCGTGTGCGTGTGTGTGTGTGTGTGTTGGGGGAGTTGTTGGTGTCTGACAAGTTTGTCCCTTTGTATACTGCTTTTGCTTTTTTATATTCACAGAATGAATTGGGGTGTGTGTGTACTACAAGGTGCCCCTCCCCTCAAAAAAGCCAGCCTAACTGCACTCTGTTGACCCCTGGCTAATGCTTAGAATGCCTATAAATAACACGAAACATTGAAGCCAGGGCGTTGCTGCCGGACAGGTCTAGACTTTCTTACTTGTGTCTTGTCTCTCTGTGTCTCCCACAGGTACACATGGGCACCCACATGTGGAACAATGCGCCTGCGAGGCGTGGCCGCCGCCTGTCTGTAGAAAATCCCATGGCCCTGCTCGGTGGGGACGCTCTGAAGTTCTCAGAGATGTTCCAGAAGGACCTGGCAGCTCGAGCAATGAATGTTGACCCAAGCTTTTGGAACCAGTATGCCGCGGCCATCACCAACGGGCTGGCCATGAAGAACAATGAGATTTCCGTCATCCAGAACGGAGGCATCCCTCAGCTCCCAGTAAGTCTAGGAGGAGGTGCCATCCCACCTCTGGGCGCCATGGCTGGCGGGGTGGAAAAGACACGCACTGGCAGTAGCCCACCCATTGTTAGCTTGGACAAAGCGAGTTCAGAGACAGGAGCCAGCCGGCCCTTCACAAGGTTCATTGAGGATAACAAGGAAATTGGAATAAACTAGCCAGATAGACTAAAGACTGTGTCCTCCTGCTCTGTCCCCAGCCCTCTAATCACAGTCCAAGCATCAGGCGTTGGGCCGCGTCTCTTATTAGAATTTTATCCGTGACAGTAAGCACGTGCCCTGCGTGGCTGCTGCGAGGTGGCCTGCTGAGCGCTGGCTGTGTGGGACTTCTTCAACAGTGGGTTTTGACTGTTCTTAAGGACCCTGCAAGCTTTTGACTCGCTTTCAGACAAAAGCTTAAGTGCTTGGAAAACTGCCTTAGGGACAGAAAAAGCTCCGACCGTATCTACTTCATTTCTCCTAAAACCTAGTGACCCCTCACCTGGGGGGAGCAGGGTCGCCCCCCCCCCACCGGGCGTGGTCATCCATCGAGCCACATTCAATGGTTTTATTCAGATTCTGTAGACACCTGAACTCTGTTTTAGGGACTCTTCGTCTTGAAGAAGCAGTTAGTTCAGTGCTCCGAACCCTGTGTATTACGACAGTCTCTTCGTCTATAGTATTTATGTTAAGATTATGCGGGTAACAGACAGTAAAATAACCCAACCTTAAATGAAGACCTTGTATCACAGAATACATCTGGCTATGTGATTTTTATTTTTATTATTATTTTTTCTAATTTAAAGCAAGGTTTGCTTTACTATAAATAAGTGGATTAATTAAATGCAGGCAAAATCGTGACGTTCTATTGGGAAAGACAGCATGCTATTTGTGTGCAAGTACCTGTCAGTAATGCCCCGCCCCCTTTTTAATTTAAATGTTTGTAGCTGCTATGTGAACAGTTGTTCTCTAGTGTGGTCTGTAGCCCAGTGGTTGGACTGGGAACAAGTTACAGACAAGCATCACCGTAAAATGAGTCACAGCACTATAACGTTTCACACTATCAAAGCTGTATAATAAAGAGGTAATGTTTGTAGAACGTGGTTGCAAATCTTAATTTATACAATTGCACTTTTAGTATTTTGTATTAGGGAGGTTTGTCTATAATTTGAGAATTAAAAAAAAGATGTAAAGTATTTTATAAATAGTACTTCTGTTTAAAGAAAATGGAGAAAAAAAATCATGTCACAGTTTACTGTTTTTGTCTTAAAGTCGAACCTGAGAAATCTATGCTGTTTAAGCAGAAAAGCCACCCAGAAGACTTGTTAGCACCTCAGTAAAACAAGGCCTGCCAGTTCTTAAATTAACATTATTTAACTTTTCTACAAAACCCGTTGAAAAACTGTGATCACCCTAAACTTTGACAGATTAAATATCTTAATCCTGTAACATAGAAAAAAAGATGGAGCAATGGAGTGAACATTGTGTAGGTGTGATTTACTGTAGGCTCGCCCCTTTCTCTCACACAAACCGGATGTGACTGCCTCACAGCACTGGTCATGGCGGAAATGAGCCAGGGGCAGTGAGGGTCTAGCCCTAGAACCGGTCTTAACTTTGACCGTTCCTGAGTTTGCGACTCATTGTCTTTTCAAGTGCAAACACGGTGCAGTGTCCTGGTTATGCAAAAGTCTGATCCTTTGCTGATGACATCTCTAAACCGAATCCAGTGAGCAAAGAAGCCAGATGCTGGGAGGCAGGGCTGAGTCAAAACTGGAACGTCAGTGCTGTGTGTACTACCTCATTTTTGTGCATCGCAAGCATGCTGGGATGTTACACAATGAACTTCCAACAAAACTGCTCAAGACATACTGTAGGTAGCTGGGTACCTCAGCAGGGAGTTGTCTGCGCCTGAACGCTAAACCAGACAGTGCAAAACAGACGGATAGAGCAGTCACCTCATACCACTGAACCAACAGGAGAAGGCACTGTAGGGGAATGACTACCGCTAGCCCGTGGCTGAGCAGAGAGCTTCTGGGGCTCATTAGCTGCTCCTGTCTTTGGAAATGAACGAGGGACTCTGCCTCTGTGATCCGCGTAGTGAGGTGGGCCGTCTCCAGGCCATGCTATCTCTTGCTGGGGCCGGACTGGGTGCTTCGGCTTTGGGAAGAGGAAGACAGTGCTCCGGCTGTTGAATGTCTCGTTATTTATCTGTGTCATGGTGTGTTTGTCTCCTCTCTTGGTTGGTATTCGGTACCATGTTAGTGTGCTTTCTTCTCTCAAAACGATGTGTATATAACTTAAGGAAAGAGAAATGTAAAGCGTTATAAATGAGATGGCTGATGAAGGTGCAGTGACCACCCCCAGTCTGGGGGTGTTCAGGGCTGGCTGTCCCTCTGCGTGGTGAAGAGAGACACTATTTTTATAACACAAAACCCACGTAGGGAGAGGGCCTCCCAGAACCAGCCAGGCTGTTTCGTAGATCCAATATATTTTATGATTAAATCTTGTGGCTTGACACATCTACTGACTGAAATGGATGTCTTAGTCTAGGTTACTATTTTTGTCATACGGAACTGAATAAAAAAAATGCAGGATGTCATATTAATTTCTGAATTGTGTTCCCTGGTTCTTCTTGGTGGAATTTGCAGTGCTGGCCATTTGTGCTGAATGGATGTCTGTGGTGTTTTCCATGGGGAAAGTCAACAAGGGTTGACAGGCCTAAATTCCAGCAACGCCTGGGAGTCCTGAGATTGATCTTGAATTTTTGCTTTCAGTGCTGGGCATAGCACCCAGGGCACGGTACTTAGGCCTGTACCTCGCCACTCATCCATATACCTTTCCTTTGATTCTTTTTCAACTCCCCCCCACACAAAAAAAGTAAAAATAAATCTAATTGTGGATATTGTTTTCCATCTGCCGGGGAAGACAGTGTAGTAGAGATGCCAGCCAAAGAGCCCTGGCCAAGCGCAGGATTTGCCTTCCCTTCATCTGCACTGAGTGTGTATAGCAGCTTCCAGGACACTTCCGCCAACAGATGATGTCGAGTGCTCCGAGGGAAGAGCAGGGATGAGGAGTGTGCTCAGAGGCACGGCACAGGGCAGACAGCGTGTGGACTTCCCTGCAGCAGCCTCTGTCTCCTCCCGCTGGGGATGTTATTTATTTTTAAATTAGCTTTGTCTCACAGATAGAATTGCTGAGACTTGTAGCTTTAAGAGCTCCTGGATATTATGTCTGATAGTCCATTTCTCCTTATTTAAATATTAGATGAGCATCGACACCCAGAAGCTGAAGTTGCTTGGATCAAGGGCACTGCAGAAGCAGGGTGAAAAGTGCCCACCGCTAACCCCGCTGGCCAGGCTGCCCTTCACTATTCCCAGGCCTTCAGAATGAAACTGTTTGATGTACTTGAGCTAAGCCAGACAATAAATTCAGTTTTTAAAAATGAGAAATAGCAAAGATTCCACAACTATTTAGAATCGCTGATACAAATTAAAATTCGAGAGAAAAGGGAGCTATCCCTTCTATTTCTAAATTATTTTTAAGGAGCAGGCCAGGGGGGTCTGGGCTTAGCGCCGCGTGTGGTTTCTACTCCAGGCACCTGCTCTCCTACTTGAATCGTAAGTGGCAAAAATCCCTAAAAGTTATTTAACTGCTTTTCTGTTCTAAGTTCATTTCAGGATCCGCTAACATTTAAAACTAATTAAAAAGCAGTGCTACAGGGTCAAAAAGAATAATCTTGTGTCCATGGGTGACAGTAGATGGCTATGTCTCCCCTGCTTTTACTTCCCGTGTGGCAGATAATACCTGGTCCCATGTGGCATTTCATACATACAGCCAACGTCAGGGCATTTCTTTATTCCTGAACGGTGTCTGCACCTTCAGGATACCACCAACTTCAAACCACCGTGGTCCCTCCTCAGCGGCACGCCCCTAACGACAGACACTTGAACCCTTCATGTCTCCCTCTTAGCGTGTGTTTGAGGCAAAGCAGCGATGGTGGTTCTTTGTCCAACCTGTTCCCACCATGTACCCTGACCAGCCCAGCTCATTCACCAACTACCAGGGCTAAGGTAGAGAGAACAACGGCTTGTTATCAGTAGAGGACTCTTGTGACCTAGTGCTCCACCAAAGGACAAGATGGGGCGCAGATTTTGCCTCTTAACTGATTTGAGAAATGTTAAAATCTGACCTACAAAAATATTTCTTATAATAAGAAAAATCCTTTTCCTTTTTGCTTCAAAGAGAAAAGACTGGTAATAACGCTGATTGGTCTTTTCAAAGGAGAGCCTTAAGAACGAGTCACAAGTCATCTCCAGTACTGTGGTACTGACTCTGAAACATGGGTGTGATGGGTGTGATGGGGGCTCTGTGTGTCCTTGGGGTATGATCTGCAGAGCATCAAGGCAGGAGCCTAAGTGGACAGTGTGTCTGTGGGAGATTGAGCCTCTCCCTCCCCCCATCCACACTCCTTAGAAACTGATGATAGATTCAAACCCTTCCACGTGTAAAATTCTATGTTTTCTTAAGCTGCTAATAATATACCTTCCCTGTCATGATTCGGTGGACAGGGTAATGGACAGTATTCATACAGAGAGAGAATGTGAACAATTGCCCAAGAATATTATCTCATAATTATAACGTTTTTACTATAAACAAATAATGAAAGGATTCTGTGGAACCACTTTGGGAGCACTTAAAATGTGTTTCTGTCTGTACACAGGGAAAGAACAGAGCATTCAGCTCTTTGAAGTTCTTTTTAAATGCCGCAGTACCTGTGGTAAAATAAAAGGCTGTTTCACGAACACTATGCTGACTTCCTTCTCTGTTAGAAAAAGAGATTTTTTTTTTTAAAAAGTGACTTGCCCCCCCCCCACGCATGGAATGCAATACAAGCACACGCACAAGCTTGCACACCCCTGAGGAAGATCAGAATGCTCAGATTAACATGGCAGTTATTTCCTGGTCATTAAAATATTCAAGAAGCCAAATCAGTTACGTTGTTAACACCCCATTTGCAGCTCTGTGTGCATCCATCCTTTTTTGGCGGCGTCCCAGTATATAATCTAGACAAGGCAGACTTGAGTGCACCCACTTGAGACATGCAGCAGGCTCGGGAAACCCCTGGTGGGAGACTCAGGAAGGGGGCGTCAGGGCAGAGTGGACGGCGTGGGCACGAATCA